TGTGATGTAGTATTTCATTAAGCGATCAATTGAATAGCTTAATACCTGTTTTGTCTGCTAAATGCATACAGTTGAAGTTTCATGAACCTCTGCAATTACCACCAGAGAGTTCGAAGTACTGAATAGTTTGATATACTTCTTTACTGATAAAATTTGTACAAAAATGGTCAATTAAAATTCCATTTATTCTAATCACTTTATTAATTTTATTTTATTTTTTATTGCGTTTTAGGCAGAAGTTGAAGATTTACATTTGCCTGATGTTCCGACTGAATTGCGTCCTGTAACTGAGGAAGAAACAGCAGGTGAGGTTTTAAATTTATGATAGCATGATATAGCAAATGCCTACTTTCGTTCAGAGGCATGGAGTGTGACTGTGTAACTTTGGACAGCGTTATCATGCTGCAATTTCCACGTACAGGCAAATTTGAGGGAAATCTTTGAAATTTGTATATCCAGCTTTCATGTGCCTCAAGAACTTCTAAGAGCTTATGACCGGGTTCCCCTTAACAAGTGTGTATGTGGGGGTGAGGGTTTCTACAGGAATATGTAATTGATAGCAAGCTGCTTCAAGCCATTCAGTCGCTATATCTGAATAGCATAAGTTGTGTTGCAGTCAACGACAACAATTTTAAGTCTTTCGCAATCTGAATTTGTCTCCAACGTGATTCTCTGGGTAGCATGATGGAAAGTGGTTAGCATTTTTGTCATTTCTTCAACTTTTTCAGCTATAGAGAAAATAACGGACCATAGTAGTAAACCGCACTGCCAGACTGACGAACACTGCATTCGACGATGTTTTGAAGTGTTCAGTAATTACTATGCTAAATATTTTATTATCCACCCAAGTATGAATATTAACTTTTCTTTTGACAAAATCAGAAAAGCTAAGACTTCCATTTTCGGCAACACTCAGAAAAGGCGATGCCGGACCGTCATAATTATTGGTGTCTCTGACTTTTGCTCGAAATACACAGGTAGATTGAGAAAATTAGATATGCAGTTCATCAAGCATATTGACCTACTATTGGAGCTGGGCCTTACACAAAGACTACTCTGTCTAGCGCCATAACCGATAGTTGAGGTAATATTATCTGTCGCACCACAGGCTAATAAATCTGAATCATTGACTGATCGATTGAACTCACAAACCACGTCTCGCAACTGATACAAACTTGTGATCGTTATTTAGTAATGCCTGAGACAGTAAGCAGTAACAGAGTTTGATAATCAACGCTCCCGTAAGTAATTCAAGTCCTATGTGAAAAAGTCGATGAAGCAGGTGAGCTGCGCTAGTATGTTGTACATTCTAGTCGTGAAAATCTTAGGGTCAAAATTAACTTCATGGTATTATTCTGCTTAGTACTGTGTAACTTGCAGAGTGGTAGGGTGGCATCATGCCATGCTATAATGTATCGTGCTGTTATCTGCTATACTGTAAATAGTAGTGAACCGCATTGATCTGTGTTGGCAGAAAACGCGTTTTCATTCACGGAAAGCACAATACTTTGAAAAGTACTTTTCCGTTCGTTGATACC